TCTCCCGGGGATGTGTCCCCCCGTCCAGCCTGGTGACGGTGGCAGGGCTGGGGGGACACACGGCTCTGCGTCAGCGGGTGTTTGCCCACGCCGGGGGCTGGCGGGGGCTGGGGGATATAAAGCTGAGCCCGACACTTCCATGAGAATCCAGGGAGGCTCCAGCACCGGGAACATGGGACACCCTTGGCTCTGCCTGCTCTGCCTGCTGGGCTCTGGCCTCATCCTGCTGGGCACCCCCGAGCCAGTGCCGGGGGTCCTTCCCCCCCTGAGCCTGCCCGGGCAGAGCCGGGAGGAGACGGAGCTGGTAAAGGGGCTGGGGCAGTGGGGGGAGCGGGGAAGGGGGTCCTCAGCACCCCCCGTGCGGCTCTGGGGCACCTCAGGGTGCTCCTGCTCCCACCACCCCGGTTTGGGGGCCGGTTCTGGCCGTGCCGGGGTGTTCTTGGGGAATTCGGGAAGGGGAAACTGAGATCCCACCACTTTTTTTGGTCTTGTGCCGCTGCTGTCGGGCACTGGGGGGGCTCCTCGCAGGAGCAGCACCGGGGACATCCCGCAGCATGTGGGAATTGCTGGGTTGGGGAATTTTACCCGTTGTTCCCTTCCCTGCCCTGTCCTGACGGGCTGCTCTGGCTCGGGGGTGGGGACGGGAGATGCTGTGACGGGTGGGGGGTGTTGGGGAGGGGTCGTGGGGGGCGGGATGCACCCTAAGCACTGCCCTGAGCCCCCCGATCCTGCTCCAACCCTGATTCCTGACCCAGACAAAGCCAGGCACGGGAGGGGATGGGGGATGATCCTCAATGGTTGGGACAGAATCCTGGGGGACTTGGCTTGACAAGAATCCCTGGACATTCCCGGGGACTTAGGGTGATGCAGATCCAGACACCAGGGATGTCCTGGGGGCCTTGGGGTGACAAGGATCCAGAGCCCGTGGACATTCCTGGGGACTCAGGGTGAAAGGATCTGGAGGGCTCAGGGTGATGCAGATCCAGAGCCCCTGGGGGACTCGGGGTGATCCGGCCCGGAGCCCCGGGATGTCCCGGGAGCTCGCGGTGTCCCGGTGTGTGTCCGGCAGGTGGAGGTGCTGCAGGAGGTGCTGGAGAAGCTCGGGACCAGGGATCCGCCGGCGCTGGAGAAGAGGCTGAGCTGGGTGCCCTCGGTACGGCGGGGCAGGGGGGCGGTGGGTGCTCACCTTGGGCGCTCGGGGGGTACCTCCCGAACCCCCTCCGGGTGCCGGGGCTGACGGTGCGGTCCCGCAGTGCGAGCCCGGGGAGCCGTGCGCGGTGCGGCGCGGGGCGCGCATCGGGAAGCTCTGCAGCTGCCCCCGCGGCACCTCCTGCAACCTCTTCATCCTCAAGTGCTCCTGAGGGATCGGGGACACCGGGGGACACC